AAAATCGAGTTTTTCAAGTGATACAATAATTGGTCATTTCAATATATTTTGTGAGTTATTGCAGGATTAAAATTTATTCAATGTCTATTAATATCAGAGAGATAATCTCCCGGCTTAAAATGATATGTGCATCCTACCGAAATTTATGGTTATGTTTTGTTTTTAAAATTATAATGTTAACCTTATCGAAAATTAGTAAAATAATTTATTAATGAGTTATAAATATTATTCCACCAACGAGGATATGTTTTTGCCGTTTTTGTTTTGAGACAAACAATGCATATTAATAAGGTAGACGTATTAGTAAATATAAATACTTTGTTTCTTTGATGAGGGTTTGTCAGCATTCTAATTTTAATTGTGTTATTTATTTGATGTTTTGCCACCATATGAAGTATCGTTTGTCTATTATCATAAGTGTAGAAAAACTGTTAATTTTAGATTTCATTTCAATTTACATCATACAACAACTGTATTACTTTGAAAAGCCGCTATAATACACTAGAATAGGAAAACGAGTACACATGCAAAATGTTTATACAACAACTGGTCATAAAAAAAAACATTGTGAGGCGAGACAAAATATATAAATTTTTGAATTAATAATCTACGCAATGTTTTTAATAGAGATATTGTCATCCATCAGATGTCACTGTGTATATTCTAATATAGTTGCATTACGGCAGAACATATGATGAATGCTGCAATGTCTTTATATTTTGACTTTTTGATCATTTGATGACCAACAGCGGTACGTTTCATATTATTGCCTATTGCAATTGCTAAGTCGGGTGGTATTTAAATAAATATCCCTGCCTCAGTACCATTTCCATAAATTAATTGGCAGTGCGCTGTTTTTCATTTCAAATATAGTGCCCTGCGAGAACAGAATAAACGACGTGCAGTTGTAGCTTGAAGATAGAATCGACAATGTAGCATGTGTGTCATAACGGTGGTATTTCGGCTGGGCGTACAACGTTCCTGGTGAATCACATGACAACAATGCCGATACATAATTTGATGAAAATGTACAGTAAAAATGTGGGGAAACATTGGACATGGCTGAGTCACATACAACATTTTTTATATGTTCATACATTAATCTAAATCACTGGCAAGTTATAGTCAATATGACTGCACGTGGTACATACTGACCAATGAGAATTTGACGTTTCAATAACGGGCAACGCACGGTAATTTTTTTTCAAAAAAATCTGCTTTATACTACGAAGTGTTGTGAAATGTATTCAATATCTTTATGTTGTATTCGCTTATTGCTTGTTGTATAGCTAAAAATAATTTCTTGATTTTATTTCGAATTCCACCAAAACAACGAAAAATACATCAATGAAATTTAGATGAGGTTATATAACAAATGAGCATCAAACGATGACACATGTCGCAAAACTTGTCTTTGTAGATGATGAGATCCCGTCAGATGTCCATAAC